GCCTACCGAAGATGTCGTAGAGGTAGCAGTTAGCTTTCATCAAGATTACCTGTTTTCTACAATACACTTTCTCTCATAATACCCTTGTGGTTTCACGTTTTTACTAAAGTGCCATTAGGTTTACTCTGACTGCATCAGAGGCTTCCCTTTCATTAAAGCACAAATCGAACTTATGCACACTCTACAAAAGGCACTTTTTCTCTTCTTTTGGCTCTCTCTCGCTTCTTCTCCGAGATTCAGCTCTAACCAGTGCCATAGCCAAGCAAGGCTCCTGGGTGAGAGAGAGAGCGAACAAGTGAATCGTCGCTTCGATCTTCCCCGTTAATCGTCGTTTTTCTTCGAGAACACTCTTAAGGTAAACTCTATCTTCCCTCTCTCGTAATTCTCGGAAACCTCTTCGAGCAATGGCGTACTTCTCCACTCTCGTCGTTTACTTGATCAATTTGATTCTAGACTGTTCTGCACCTTAGATCGGTTCTCTGTAACTCGGATTTGTGTTTACCTTGCTTTGTTTCTTCGCAAATCTTCGTCGCGTTTCTGTGTTTTTGCCTATTGTTTTCTGTTTTAAAATAGCGAAGAACTTATATCGAGGATGCTATTAGCTTTCTGTGTTCGAATTCAATTGAATTTTGTATCCAGATCAGGGATCTCTCTTGTATCGCCAGTTTTCTGGATTTAAAGATGGGAATTAAAGTGGAATTTTACTGATCACGAGGTCTAACCTAATGATTTGATGGGAGGATTTAAGGTTTACAGATATTGTCGATAGGGGTTTAGGGATGCAAATGGCTTTACAAAATCTATAGTTATGCTGTTGAGTGTGATAATCACATCTATCTGTCTTCTAAATTCATTTGCAATATGCAGGATAATGGCAGAGGAAGTGCCTCTCGAACCTGCGATCATTGCACATGGAGCTTTTCCTGAATCTCAATGCTCATTGTGGGGATGCAGAAGACGAGTTCACTTCGCAAGTGCCCCATACTGTTGTGGTGTTCACTGCCTAGCTGCGCTGGATAACAGCCTTTTACAAAGCCCACTAATGTTTTCGTACAAGTACGAGATCTTACAGTTGGAGAACTCTATCTGTCTCAAGACACTTGATACATTCAAGTCGAATGTAAACCCAGGAATCCCTGACATCGTTACCAACCTGCTGGAAAATTATCCATGGCTTCAACCAGGTTTGAACCACTTGCTGTT